GTTCTCACGCAGAAAGTGCAAACGTTTTTTTTTCTCTAGCCTCGTTCAAGGAGACTTAATGAAATCTTCCCCACTCCACGTCGGTAACTGACTTTAATACCCCCCCCCCCCCCCCGCCTAGGCTTAAGGGCGTCTCGTCACATAAATCATTATATGATAATCACCCCACCGGCCTAGCGTGTTCAATCTCAAGGTAAAAGGGGTTCTCAAACTGTAGCATTTCTAAGTAGACCCCAGTCTAGCTTGATTTAAAAAAACAACATTTAGTTATCATTGTCTACGTAAATAGTTACAAATTATTAATGTTAATAGTACGTTTTCTTTGCTTATTGTTTTATGAAATATGATCATATTATGACGATGATATTTTTATATAAAACGACAGTTTTGGAAAAGAAAACCACTGTGACCTACATACGATTACATTCACACTCTTCAAGTACATGTCGTCGCTCATGCGATGGCTAATTTTTTATTTTATTTAAAAGACCTTGACTTATGCTCCAAATACTCTAGACAGACGACGTCCTTTGGTGTACTTAAAGAACGTCTTTGCATCCATTTAGAAATGCCGATTTCGCAAATATAAGTGCTTTGGTAAAAATTAAAAAAATTACATTTGTCACGAGAAACATTTTTTTTTTCAACTCGTAGGTGTAAGTGAACTTCCCTTTTCAAACTTAACGGTCTATAACGAAGTTAAAGTAGAGTCCTTATGATTCTTGACCTCGGAATAAGTAGGGATGGTTTAGTCCGCCCTACGTCAAGCCGCCTTTTTTTCCTCTAACGTGAGTTAGAAATATTAGAGCTGGGTGGATTAGGGACGTCCTTCAGACATGCGTCCAGGCGATGGTTCTAAACTCAAGACTTTCCGGTTAGTAGTTGAGCGATCTACCACTCAACAAATACATCGAACTAAAAGTAGATGAACTATAATCATAAAACAAATTATTTTCATGAATTTTATTACTTTACTTTGGTAATTAAAAAATATTTTGTTCGTTTTATTTTATTTAGGTAACTTTGTATAATTTCATGATTTATCTGTTCTTTTCTGAATGATTGTTAAACCAACTAGTTTGATTGAATAATTGTTAAAACGACTGTTTTGTTTAAATCATTGTTAAGCAAACTGCTTTGTTTGATCGATTGCTAAACCAATTAGTTTGTTTAACTCATTGTTAAACCACCTGGTGAATTCGCATCTAGAAACACGGGCTTCCATTCAAATTTACGACATAGATCTGGTACTTTTAAAAACTACAGATGTGCGGTGTTCTATCCTGGTTCTATGATCTAGGTTCTATGTCCTATAAAGTTTTGAAAAACTCGACGGAACTTTTTTGAAAAACTCGACGTTGAACCTGCGGCGGTACTATGAGAATTGCCATCTTGGTGCCAAGTCCCCCCCCCCCCCTTCCTCCCTTCCACCATACCAGGAATTTTCATCACGAACTCTAATTAATTATTAATCGAACTTGAATGATCGTTGTGTCTGTGCATATTTAGTAGTTTCAGTTGTGTCCATACTCCACACCACCTCGACCCCCAATATCCATTTGTGACGTCACTAATACCAATGACCGGCACATCGACTCATGGAAACAATCTTTAAACATAAATATAACACAGTAACTCTGGTGTAAGTATAGTCACTGCTATGTAAGCAAAGTATTTGAGTATCTATAGTCTGAGAAAAATTATAATTACTGAATTATAACGGCGCTTTTACACTTTCGACATGCACAGCATACATGTCTAGAATAAATTAAACTCGTAACAAGCTAGTATACATGTTCTGCAAGAAAAATATTTTTATAACATGGACTTATTTTCCACCTAGACATGTATAGTGTACATGTATAGTATACAAGTCGCAAGTGTAAACGCTGTGTAAGCAAGAAGATTTAGAGACGTGTGTAAGTACACAGTTTTTTCTCAGTGCAGGTGAAACAGTACTGTGGTTTTCACACAGGTAAAAAGTCAGCGACTAAAAATTTTAATCCAGGGATTATTAAGGCATTAATCCGTTAATCTAATGATCTGTTGGTTTTCATAAGATTAACTTCCAAGGTTTAAAAAAGACTGAGACAGATTTTGGAGATTCGAGAGGTGGGATTTAGTTGAAGGAGATTTTGAAGGTGGGTTTTAGTTGAAAAAGGTTTGGGAGGTGGGTTTTGGATGATGGAGATTTGGGAGGTGGGTTAGTGTAATAGAGATCTAGGGGGTGGGATTTGGATGATAGAACTTTGGGAAATGGGTTTTGTTTCATTGAGATTAGGGAGGTGGGTTTTGGATAATGGGGATTTGCGAGGTGGGATTTAGTTGAGGCAGATTTTGGAGGTGGGGTTTGCTTGATGGAGATGTAGTATTTTTAGCCATATGAAAGAACTTTGTTGAACTTAATTTGATGGTTGTAGTTAGTAGTGTATTTTTTAGATGGACGCAGACAAAATATAACATGATAGCAGTGGATTGTATTAAATTATTCATGGTTTTACTTGTTACCAAACGAGTTTATTTGATTAGATAAAATAAAATTAAGTTATCCTTTGATTAACACAAAACTTTTAGCACTCCGTGGACTGATTTTTGGAACTTTGTCAATATATTCTTAGTAAATTGACAGTATATCATTATTTAGTCATTGATGTCTCTATTCAAACTTTAAAATCGACATACAGAGCCTGGTAGATAAAAGCCATTATGCAGCTTTAATGATAATGTTCCAAGGCCAATGTAGATTAACACGGGAGTATTTATGACAAATGACATTAAAAGACAGGTCATCTAAATGACATTTATGACAAATGACAGTAAAAGTCAGGTCATCAAAATGGGAGGTCTCAATTTGTTTTAAAAATCCATAATTGTATAAACTTGCAGTCCTTGATCAAAGAGTTTGAAACAGACACCGACCGTCTGAAGATAAAACCAACTGATCCGAATAAATCCTGCCGTAGATTACATATTACTTTTGATTTCACGAACTATCGGGTTTAATTAATGATCAATCAAGTATTAGGATTTTACCTGTCCACAAAAATATACCTATGTGTTAAGTTGATGAAGTATGGCGAAATCTTGACGGACGATCATACTAAAAGAAAATTAACGTGTTAAATGTATTAAACTCGCACGTATTTGATTAACATATCATTACGAGTGTAAATTTATGTGCGTAAGATTTTATTCCCAAGCTTTACTGAAGTCTGTTTGCCTTAAGCATGTCCAATCCACACGTAAAATCTGTTTTACATTTACCAAATCTAGATTTACGGGCGTAAAACACGTATGCTCCAGAAAATCCAATTAAAACCAAGCTATGTAATTACGACTTGACGGCTTGGTCGAATGGTAGAAGGCATGACATGTAATCAGCAAGTTTCGAGTTTGAATCCCGGGCTGGAGTCCATCATATGTTGCTGACGTATACCGGACTCACATTAGGGTAAATAAAGTGACCGTACTGTATCTTCACATGCCGTGGTCCCGGAAGCAGGCCAACTCTACTTCACCTGCTTCATTGACAGTTGGGTTCGATGTGGGTACTTATCATTTTACTTACTTTTTTATAATGTAAGACCACACGTTATAGGCCTACATGTATGTCTTGATGCTCTTTAATGTTCTGCCTTTTTTGTTGGCCCCGTCATTAAATTACTTTAAGAATCGGTTTAATTTATGAACCATTCCGGAATTATAATTGATATTGTGTCTTTTCCTTAACCTGACTTGACCTTATCGTGATCTGAAGATCAATGACCCACGACGACACGTGACCTAGTGAGAAAAAAAATTCGGCAGTACAAACAATTTGATTTGTGCTTTAGTTAAAGACAGAGAAAATGCCATATGGACCTACGTTTTAAATATTGCTGTTTGTATGGAAGTTAGATTTTAACTGGAAGCTAGCGACTTTGAGTTTTTTTTTAGTCCGATTTAAAATGCGAGTCACGTTCTATTTGTATTTTTAATTAATAGCTGAATCGTTATCTCAAAATACGGTTAAAAATAAAAGTCGTAGTCCTGATTTCCAGCCCAAGGTAGACTTGAGTGGAAAAATTGTGGATTTAAGCACATTTGAAGTTGTGTTGCGAGATTTGCGTAAATATTATGACAGAGTGACCTAGTGTTGAAGCTATGTTTATGGACCTAACATAGAAGAGTTGAATGACATAATGACGAAATGGTGAGTGACCTAGCGACGAATAAGTGTAGGACTTAACGACGAAAGGGTGAGTGACCTAACGACAAAAAAGGTGAATGACCTAATGATGAAATGATGAGTGACCTAACGACGGGAAGGCGAGTGACCCAGCAACCGATGTTTGTAGTAGTATTGTGTTTAATGATCTAATGGCAGAGGCGTAGCGAGGGGGGGGGGGGGGGGCGGGGGTTGCGGACCGCACTGGGTGACACCATTTAGGGGGGGGGGGGATGACACCAAGGCAAAAAATAGTAAAATATATAGAGAAAAATTTGAGGGGGGTGAAAATCGAAAGTTTGAGGGGGGGGGGGGAGAATCGAAAGTTTGAGGGGGGGTGCAAATCGTAAGTATGACGGGGGGGTGGGGGGTGCAAATCGAAAATTTGTCCCCGGGAAGAGTCGCTACGCCTTTGAGTGGTGACACCATTAAGTGCCCGCACCGGGTAACACCCGACCTCGCTACGCTACTGGGCAAACATAATTATAAAGACCTAACGACCGACTCATGTGAAGTGATCTAACTTTAAAATTGCGAATGACCTTACGTCGAATAATTAGACTGACCTACTACCGACGAACTCCTGTGAAGTGACCTAACGACTAACGTTGGTACTGATCCAACCCGCTAAGCTGGAATCGACCTTGAAAAATCCACCAAAAACTCTTAACCCGACAGATCAAAACAACATAACGCAGGAGTTCTTTTGTACCGTCCAAGACAAGTTTTTTATACAACACAACAAGATAAACCTTCCCTTATCTGCTGTGCTTTTCGTAAGTCCGCTCTCTACTACCGCAGGTAAGTGCTTAGTTAACTCAAAACCAGTCACCTGTGTTGTAAGTCATCCGGTCTGTTTTAATTAGAAAGATTTAATTATCGTTATGTTAATTCACTGATTACGTACAAGTAACTACTGCAGTGTTGAATAATTCATGGTTGGAATCTATCTTTTCAATATGTGCATTTTGATTGGAGTTAAAAAAAAGCAAAGTGGTTGAACGATTCTATGTTTGATGAGATCAACTACCTAGGCAGCGACCCTACCGCTTACATTAACCCTGTCATTTCCCTAACTCTGATCATTAGAGCAATACTTTCAGAAAAGCCACTGTTTTGATTGAGTTTGATTTCTTGCTTTTCGTTACAAAGTCTTTCATAATGATAGTGAAAACGCATTTTTTTCTTGTTATTTTCAGTTTAACTATTAAATCAACATGTTTTCGTCGATATGTGTCTGAAGGTTGAATTTTAGCATTGTCTTATCTTATAGTGTCGCCTGTAAAAACGTTATTTTACCTGAATAATCAGTAGCCAGACAACAACTAAGCTACATTTACCCCCCCCCCCCCCACACTCCACTCCAACAGACAAATTGTTATAGCTTTATCTCTGTTTTCTTTTTCTTAGACTGGTATATCTTTATACACAACAATCGATGTTTGTGAAATGATGTAATTATAACACCGTTATTTTATCTGTACTTATAATGGTGTAATTATGACACCTTTATTTTATCTGTTCGTATAATGGTGTAATTATAACACCATTATTTTATCTGTTCGTATATTGCTGTCATTATAACACTACAATGTTAACCGTTCGTAGACTTTCATATGCTGATAGCATATTTAATTGTTATTAACAGAATGCCGTCACTATAACACCTATATTGGACACGTTCTTAGTGTGAACAACTCATGACGCATATTTCTGTTATCCACAAAATGTCGTCACTATAATACCGTTATTAGACACGTTATTAAAGCGAAATACTCATGACTTATATTTCTGTTGTCCACAGAATGACGTCACCATGACACCACTACTGAAAACCCTTCTGCTCCTGGCCTGTCTGTCGTCTGCCCACGCTCTCACCTCAATGACCAACGTCACGGAAGACTGGTCCTTCACCTGCACAGACAACCAGGCTCTCCTTCTCCTAGAAAGCGCCTTCGAAGAAAACCCCACCCTCGGGGAAGCAGACGACCGAGTCTGGAACTTTACCTGCGGGGACGTCCCGGCCCTTCTGGAGACGCCGCTGACGGACTGCGAATGGACGTTTGACGTCAACGACTACACCAGCTACTTCGAGTTCCAGTGCTACAACGACGAGATCGTCACCGGCGTCAGCAGCACCTATGACGTCAACTCACGTGACCGGAAGTTCCGGTTCCAGTGTTGCAAGCCGGGGAACTACGTCACGCATGCGTGCCAGTACTCGGATTTCGTCAACAAGGCGCAGGAGGACCTGACGTATGCGGTGCCAGACGGATTCGTCCTGCGCGGGGTCAGCAGCCTGTACGTGGCCAGCGGTCGGGATCGTCTGTTCAAGTTTGACGTCTGCAAGCTGGCGTTGTTGTTTGACCCAGTTGTTATTATTGGTTAATTTTTCATTAAAAGTTGGTCATTGTTAGTTAACTTTTCAATGAAAGTTGCTCATTGTTAGTTAACTTTTCCATGAAAGTTGCTCATTGTTAGTTAACTTTTCCATGAAAGTTGGTCATTGTTAGTTAACTTTTCAATGAAAGTTGGTCATTATTAGTTAATTTTTTAATAAAAGTTGGTCATTATTAGTAAACTATTCAATAAAAGTTGGTCATTTGTAACTATTCCATGAAAGTTGGTCATTATTAGTTAACTATACAATGAAAATAAGTTATTATAATTAAACTGTTCAGTGAAAGTTATTTGTTGATTATTAAATGAAACTTGATCATTATAGATTAACTATTCAATAAAAGTGTATTAGTATTTGTTAAAAATTAAAAGGAAGTTGGTTATAATTGCTTGACTTTTGAAAGTAAGTTGGCCATTATTTGTAAACTATCAATGAAGATTTGTCATATTAATGAAAGTTTATCATTATCGATTCGCTTTTAACATAAGTAGGTCATAATGCGTTATTATGTGCTTACTTTTAATAAAAGTATATGATTGTGTTACTGTTTTGACTTATAATCAAAGTAAAGTGTTATTAAATTAAATTAATAAACTTACTAATTTTCAGTGTTTTAAGATTTGTGAAATAGAATAAATATGAAGCTATAGTTATATGATGACAATGGTGGGAACTCAGGGGTAAGGACAGGGGTGGGGGACATGGGTGAGAACTCAATGGTGGGGACCCAGGGGTGGGGACAGGGATTGGAACAGGGGTGGGGACTAAAGGATCGGGGACTCTAAGACTCTAAGATGACGAGCTATTATATGTTGACGCTACATACACGTGACCTTTCGGCGTGAGAGGTCACCACTTAACGCCGAGTCATGAGGTCGGCTATTTTTAGACTCATTGATTGAATCGTGAGCGCCGTATCGCAACCTCATTAACATTATCTATGAATGAACGGCACAACGGCCGGAACGGTCCCCGGCTAACCGGGGACCTGGGTCACGCCCTCCCCCCCCTCCCCCCGACCCTAACCAAAACGTCAGTATATGTGTTTACTTAGAGCTATGAATGAATGGTGTTGAAATCCACCATTCAATGAAGATGGTGTTACTCATTTGACTCTCATCGAAATATGGAAAAATAGTTGTTTTTTTTTAACGATGAAACGTGATGGCATTTACCGTTATATTGAAAATGGCGCAACAACACTAACCCTAACTAAAGCATGGAAACATATGTTAGGTTTTTACTTATGAATGAACATTTGACGACGATCGTCATTAAATTGAAAATGGTGTAATCTTGCAGACCTTCATCGAAACATGAAACAAAATGTGTATTTGTATTTACGTATGAACGCTTTCTACGATCAACCGTAATATGATAGATTTGTGCCACTCCAAAAACAAATAATTCAATTAACCTATTTTATTATATTAATTAATTACTTGATGAGTATTTAATTAAATACACATGTAGTTGAAATTCAAAGTCTGGACATGAGCGTAATGCATCGAGTAACGAATGATTCG